CACGCTACTACTTGGTACTATCGTGATAGTAATCCGTAGTGAATATGTCAACAAACACAATGCAGTCATGACCTCATCACATATTTGTATATTTACATTATTAAATGCTTTTAGTTTGTCGATGTTTTGTTTTACTGTTTATGGATGGGTGCAACTCAGTAGAGAGCACAATGTTTTTTCGTGGAAATTCTGAGGCATTCGTTGGAGGTCGTCCCAACAGCCATGATTAAAACACATTACTTTTATCATTCATTTCAATCATCCTATTGTTTCAAACAGCCCATTGTACCTGTATTGTGGATGTTTGCAATGAAAGGTATTTCATTTACTACAATAACTATGCCTACAATAATAATGGTGATTTCATTGGCGACGGAGGATACAGATGCAAATATGAGTATTTCAACAATTGATGAGACCACCCCTGTTCGGTTAAACCGGATGACATTCTCGTCCTTGAGTTAAAAAGAATACTCATTTTTCCAGTATGATATTTATATTAAAATATTTACATTCTATATGCTTGGACCCACTGACGAAAATGATATTCATTTTTGCATAACACGTACAGGTAACTTCATTACTGAGTATTGATACACTAAAATGACGTAGTAAATGGCGTACTTGGTTAACTTCCGCGGTGGAACAACCCTCGATGTAGTTTTGTTATGCTAATATGAATCAGTATTAAACATGATTGACTTGATTTTAGAGCTTAAGTAAGGTGTCTAAAGTACATGATGATAATATACCACTTGTTTAATTTCTACAAACTAAATTTGAAAAAGTAACTAAATTTTGTTTGTTTTGTTGACATGCTGTTGCTAGGACCACCAACAGAAGTTTTATATTTTCCCGCGAAAACAAGCTGTTCTCTCTACTGCGTTGTCCCCATGTACAATACCTGTATTTGTTTTATTTATGCTTGCATCGGAAAAGTCAAAGCGTTTAAAAATGTCAATATAAGGAACGCGGATCGTGGAATATGTCCAGAAAGTCAATGTTGTTATGACCTCATAAATGTTAAAAAAATAAATATCATTCCTTATATTTACATTGACGAATCCTTTCAGTGGATCGATATAACAACGAATAAAACAAATAAACAGGGTTTGTTCCTGCTTATACACGGGTGCAACACAGTGGCGAGAACAGTGTTTTTTCGCGGGGAAATGTGACACTATCGTTACATATCTTAGCAACCGTCAACAACAATAACACAACAAAATGTAGTTCCATATTCAATGTTTATTTGTAGCACAGGACACGTGAATACGTGGATATTTCACCAAGCACAGTTCAATAATATTTTAAGATGTAAGAATTAAGCATCTAGGTCGGTCGTTCCGAGAGAGTTGTCTTTGTAGTATATTATTACGCAGTGTGATCAGGTTACTATCAGTTCCCAAGTGCTGAGATTATTTGAACACATGTGTTATGCATTTATGAATGTAATTTTTGTCAATGGGTCTAAGCATACAGAATGTAAATATTACATAATAGCAAGTAAAAGCAGTTAACACGTACACTGCTGAAAACAAAACCAACTATTATATTTTGATTGTGACGTCACGATTAAGTTATAGAGGCAGTCGCCACTTAATTTGGTATGCCATTGGCAGTAGTGCGTTATGTAATTTTAGTAATTCTTATTTAATCGCCCTTCATAAATACCAAAGATATGTTTCACTTTTTGCTTTGAATACTGGGTGACCATTCTAATGTTTCTCACCTCACAGCTTAATTGAATTGGTTTTATAACGAAGCATGTCGTATTGTAGTGTACATAAGTCATGTTGTAGGAAGAATCGCAAAACAACGAAGTACAGTGTGAAAGCCGTGATACAAATGTAAGTATCAACAGCCGTGATACAAATGTAAGTATCAACAGCCGTGATGCAAATGTAAGTATCAACAGCCGTGATACAGCGGTTACTATAATGGGTAGACATGACATGTATCAGGATTATATTATTTTTTTTATACATTATAGGGATTATTGTAATGAGTAGCCATTATAATGGTTAGTATAATCAGAAGACATTATATGAATCATAACAATCAATATGCGTGATGAGTATATTAATATTTGATAATTCTCTTAAAGATTATAATAATTTGTAAACATCTTAGAATTATAATATTTAATAGACATAACATGATTATATGATGCAGTTGACATCATCAGTAGATATTATAATGATTATAACAATAATTAACTATTGCAAGACACATCACAATCAACAAGCATTACAATTTATATTATTCTATATAATCAGGCGATAAGGATTAGTATAACTGATGTTCATTTAAGTGATTAAAATGTGAAGTAGACATCAGAAAGGATTATAATATATAGTAGATATTATAAGGATAATAATAGTTAGTAGACATTATTCGAATAATCAACATCCTTTATGATATGTTCTAAAGCAACAACAAAATATTCCAATATCATCATATAAATCTCTACGTAAAATCAGCAAATGGATGTGTATTGATCAAGATCTATATCTACAAAAAAAACAGCCTCGGATAACTATTATGCAAATTGAATATAACTTTCTTAATATCTAATATTTTTTAATATCATAAAGAAAAATGATAACGTTTAAATAAAACTGTTAATGTTTGATTCAAACGTGGATCTTATAATTAAATTAACACCAAAACGTACTCTACAGGTAACTAAATTGTATCTAATTTAAAAAGCTAATTGGATCATTACTGAGGAAACAGATACTAACTATATAGTTTAAAAGCCAATATCACATTGTCGGATCCCATACTGAGGAAACAGATACCAACTATAGGTAACAAGCCAGTATCACATTGTCGGATCCCATACTGAGGAAACAGATACTAACTATATTTAACAAGCCAATATCATATTGTCGGATCCCAAACTGAGAAAACAGATACTAAGTATAGTTTACAAGCCAGTATCACATTGTCAGATCCGATACTGAGGAAACAGGTACTAACTAAAATTAACAAGCCAATGTCACATTGTCGGGTCCCATACTGAGGAAACAGATACCAACTATAGGTAACAAGCCAGTATCACATTGTCGGATCCCATACTGAGGAAACAGATACTAACTATAGTTAACAAGCCAATATCACATTGTCGGATCCCATACTGAGGTAACAGATACTAACTATAGTTAACTACCCAATATCACATTGTCGGATCCCATACTGAGGTAACAGATACTAACTATAGTTAACTACCCAATATCACATTGTCGGATCCCATACTGAGGAAACAGATACTAACTATAGTTAACAAGCCAATATCACATTGAAGGATCCCATACTGATGAAACAGATACCAACTATAGTTAACAAGCCAATATCACATTGACGGATCCCATACTGATGAAACAGATACCAACTATAGTTAACTAGCCAGTATCACATTGTCGGATCCCATACTGAGGAAACAGATACTAAGTATAGTTTACAAGCCAGTATCACATTGTCAGATCCGATACTGAGGAAACAGATACTAACTAAAGTTAACAAGACAATATCACATTGGCGGATCCCATACTGAGGAAACAGATACTAAGTATAGTTTACAAGCCAGTATCACATTGTCAGATCCGATACTGAGGAAACAGATACTAACTAAAGTAAACAAGCCAATATCACATTGACGGATCACATACTGAGGGAACAGATACTAACTCTAGTAAAAAAGCCAATATCACATTGTCGGATCCCATACTGATGAAACAGATACCAACTATAGTTAACAAGCCAATATCACATTGTCGGATCCCATACTGAGGGAACAGATACTAACTCTAGTTAACAAGCCAATATCACATTGTCGGATCCCATACTGAGGAAACAGATACCAACTATAGTTAACAAGCCAATATCACATTGACGGATCACATACTGAGGGAACAGATACTAACTCTAGTTAACAAGCCAATATCACATTGAAGGATCCCATACTGAGGACACAGATACTAACTATAGTTAACAAGCCAATATCACATTGTCGGATCACATACTGAGGAAACAGATACTAACTACAGTTAACTAGCTTATATCACATTGTCGGATCCGAGACTGAGGAAACAGATACTAACTACAGTTGACTAGCCAATATCACATTGTCGGATCCCATACTGAGGAAAAAGATACCAACTATAGTTAACAAGCCAATATCACATTGTCGGATCCCATACGGAGGAAACAGATACCAACTATAGTTAAAAAGCCAGTATCACATTGTCAGATCCGATACTGAGGAAACAGGTACTAACTAAAATTAACAAGCCAATATCACATTGTCGGATCACATACTGAGGAAACAGATACTAACTACAGTTAACTAGCTTATATCACATTGTCGGATCCGATACTGAGGAAACAGATACTAACTACAGTTGACTAGCCAATATCACATTGTCGGATCCCATACTGAGGAAACAGATATTAACTACAGTTGACTAGCCAATATCACATTGTCGGATCCGATACTGAGGAAATAGATACCAACTATAGTTTACAAGCCAATATCACATTTCGGATCCGATCCTGAGGAAACAGATACTAACTTTAATTAACCAGCCAATATCACATTGTCGGATCCCATACTGAGGAAACATATACTAACTACAGTTAACTAGCCTATATCACATTGTCGGATCCGATACTGAGGAAACAGATACCAACTATAGTTTACAAGCCAATATCACATTTCGGATCCGATGTTGAGGAAACAGATACTAACTTTAATTAACCAGCCAATATCACATTTTCAGTTCCGATACTGAGGACACTTTGAACTAAGTCATTTCAAAGTCTCGTTTCGTTCGAATTCTTTTGCTATGTAATGTTGATAAATAGTGGTAACTGATTAGCGTGCTGAACACAGTTGGTCGTGGCAGGACATGTCATGGGAACTGGATTACGGACTTGAGTATATAGTGCTATGATATACTCTTGTGTTAGCTGAACACAGCTGGTCGTGGCAGGACATGTCATGGGAACTGGATGACGGACGTGAGTATATAGTGCTATGATATATACGTCTGTTCACTGATGACATATCGCTTTCAACACCAATAAATAAACCTGATGTAGTCTGCTACCGGTAATAAGACATTTCTTTAATTAGAGATTGCAATCGGTACCGAGGGAGGAGTCAAGTTATCCTTATGACGTCAGAGTCTGTCAGCTTAATTATGAACAATACAAGAACGAATCTATAAAAAGCGAAATAATATATATTGCCGTCACTAATCAGTTCAATTAAGCATTGAACTGTTTTTGTATGGTATTTATGATCTATTTGAATGACACAACTTTGCAAGTAAACAACATAATGCGCGCTAGCGCATTATGATTTGTTTGCTTGCAAAGCTGTGTCATTCAAATAGATCATAAATACTATACAAAAACAGTTCAATACTTATATTTACGTTTTCTCTGCCTCTTGTGATCTTTTTTAACTTATAATTTATATCTAAAATTAAAAATGCTCGCCTTATCGACAGTCCACACAATTTCGTTCAATAGTTTGAACAGCGTATTGTCGCGTGCTGACAATGGCAAACAAAGTAGTACTTTGAAAATTTAACAAACACTTCAATTTTATTCCACAATTCAGTATCAATACAATTGCGTATGATATGTCTATAGGGTGATTTTAGTTTATCAATAGAACTCTGAGCTGAAAGTTAGATTTGAAATTGTTTCGATTTTTCCCCGGAACAAATTTCGCGCATGGACAAATACAGTGAACACCGTAAATCCGACCTTGCCCTCCACGAGGGAGTTATTTTTGGAAGTTAATTCGAACTTTTCTCTTCGCTCATTGTGTGAAGAATCCGGGCGTGAATTTATTTGTTGATTGAATGGGAACCGGACAACAGTCGGTAGATTCTATAACGGCCTCGTTATTTGACATGTCGTCAGAAATCAGGAACCGTGGATGCGAGACGCGTGAAACTGATAGCGCTTGAAGTCAGTGATTTTGCGACGGAGCACAGGTTCGTTACAAAATGTCTGAAATGTACGCTTTTTCTTTGTGTGTTATGAAGGTCAATGATTCTGACTATGTTCCTCAGTGTGCCTTGTGGTTTTCTACTCACTTCCCGAAATCTGGTATGAAGGCGTGACATTACTTGGATTTTACCTAGATTGACATAACAAAATATTTAGTCTTCCGGAACACATTGTCTTAAACATGTTGCAATCAAGACAGGGAAAATTAACGATATGAATGTCAAATTCGTCCCGTCTATCGTTCACCTAAATGGTAGGCCGCCCTTGCTGGTCAAGTTAAAAGTAATGAACGAGGGATGCGGCTGAAGAGAAAGACTGTCATTTCCTTGATACCAAGGACGGAAGATACGACCGATGGGGCTCCAGACTTTTCTTGCTTTTCAAATACCGCACATCGTCGATATATCGGTGAAATTGTAGGAATTTATTTCCTGATAATCTCGTCATACATTTCAGTCTCACATGAAAACGGAAACAAGATCGTCAGAAAAGGGCACGGTTTGTTCCCTTTGAAATGACTGCAGTCTGCCTGGTGGAAAATCTTGCCACCTATATCAACAAAGAACTAATAACTCTATCATTCTCACAATATCGTCCTCGATATTTTTATTTTATTTTGGCCTTTGTTGTGCTTTTCACAAAAAATGCTCCAAAATTATTTACCACCATATATTTATATCTCCATTCGTCTTTCTTGGAAAGGAAAGCTCTTATGATACATATATGTATGACGAAAATGTGCTTCATATTGGTGTGAAAGGGTACTATTTATATTTCATTGTTTTATGATATGTATTAGGGAATGCTTTCACTATGTCATTATATTTGCTGACATGGGTCAGAATAGTTTGTACGAGTATTAGTTGGATAGATATACATATATATATATATCAAAATACCAGGTAAGTAGATAGGTGCTTGACACAGTGAGTTGTACTCACCTGTATGTTATATAAATGCAATCTTACTATATATGGAAGATTTGTGTGTTCATAATAAGATTCATACTTTGACCTTTGACATAACCTGACTTAGACGATCTGATTGGCTGGATACCATCTGGAGAGGGAAAGTTCAACATGATTTTGTGTAGGTACTTAGTTTTTTGTTAGGCAGAAGAGATTTGCATTTTGGAGAGTAAGGAAGGATCACATCAGGAGTAGAAATTGGGGATTGGATGGTAAGTTTATTTTATTAGTATATCATTATCGTTGTAGTAATTGTAGGTAATTCATTGTTTGGTTTATAAATGTTTAACAATAAATTGCTATGAAGTAAATGTATATAATGTAATGCTTTTGTTCTCAAGGATAAGTATTTGTTGAGTGTAGAATCTGTACGTCTACAAAGTTGCCAAATAGCATGTTCAATTGTTATCATTGACAAATGTGTTTAATAGGTTTTGTATTTTATTTATTAAGAATCATGAGTGAAATTGAGAAGTGAGACAACAGATTGAAATCAGATTGAGATACGACAGATTGGGATAGACAAACATAACAAAGAGAACCCTGTGTATATACCTCTACCCCATATGTAGGCTGAGTTTATGAATTCTAGAGTCTACAGTCTATATATATGTAGATCTGTGTTTTTATATTTATGAATAAGGAAAGTAACTTTAATGCAATCCTTGGTAAGTGGTGTAATTTATGGTATTAATATGATCACAGTATTTAACAGTGCTATATAAGTAATGTTTAAATATATAAATGTGGTTGTATGTAAAGATTTCCTATATTTCTTATTTGGTAAGAATGTGGTAAAAGTGCCAACTCGTTATCTGTAATGTGAGAGATTTGTGTCCCTTGACTTAGTGTGCAAGAGTATAAATGTACGTCTTTGTTTTGTTGTCTGGACGCCAACTGAACACTGACTTCCGTCAGTGAGATGAAACCCGTAAGGGCGGATTCATGTAGGCGCAAAACCCGTCAACCAACCAACCAATTGTTGTCGGGTATTTCAAGATGTTGTAATAAAGCAAACACCATTGAAGAGACCAGCGTTTTGACTTGTTTTTTCCACCCTGTTACATTTGTATGAGGTACTTATTGAACTTAAGATAAATTCTCTCTAGCCGAGTCAGTAACAAGTCGCTGTATTCTTTGTGACATACATGGAGCTCTGAATATTTCAATGTTAGAAAAATAAACAAAACTTCCATTTGAACAACATCAAATACTGCATACCATGACTTTCTTCTATGACGCGTCTTGTGCGTTATAAAGGTTCAGAATAAAAATATTGTATATTAATAAATGTTAAAGTATAAATTTGTAATTAAGACATAAACTTTTACAGTGAGTATGACTATAAGACTGAATCATTTAGGTTTAGAGTGAGTATAAGGTATGTTAATAAATGTTAAACGCAAGTATAACTATGTAATTAAGACATACACTTTTACAGTGAGTATGACTATAAGACTGAATCATTTAGGTTTCGAGTGAGTATACGGTGTATTAATAAATGTTAAAACGCAAGTATAGATATGTATATAAAACAAACGTTTACAGTAAGTATAACATATATAACTGAATCATTCAGACTTAGAGTGAGTATAATGTTTATATATATATATATATATCATTAACGTTAACAATAAGTATAACGTACGTAACAATAATTACGCTAGGAAGCAATACAATGTTTATGTTAGCCAATATTAAACTGTCTGTATTGTGATGAATAGGCTAAAAAGCATTTTGATGGAAACAAGCCATAATGTTTTGTGAAAATAAAGGCGAATGACTCGGATTTTGTACAATTTGGGCTGATTGTGTCATGGAGTGAAAATTGAAACCAATATAACAATAATGGTGAAAAAAGCTAAACATGATACATGTAGCATTTTTATTTTAATAAAGAACATAGTATAACTACTACTACATTACATCTGACGGGCTTCTCCACGAAAGTAACACGAATGAAAAAATATAGCCCAGTGGGCATACTTTGTTTTATGTCGGTGACCACATTACAAGTGAGCTGCTGCGCCATGTGATATCAAATACGATCATGTGACTTAGTCATTCAAATACAATGTCAAGGTTACCGACCATTTATAAACATCCTCGAGCTATATTGCTCACATAGGATTATGTTTGATTTCGTGAACCAAACTGATTTCCGCCCAGAATACTGGTGGCAATGTGTCATACACCAGGATATCAGCTTCAGATGAATCAATGTACTTTTAGCTGATATATGTTATATTTTCAAATTTCCACTACATTCTTGGTCACCAAAGTTATAGCACGAAATTAAATACTCAGCGAGAGGTGATACCATGATTGAGAATCTTCGTGAACATGTCTTTATAGACACAAAAGAAAAGCATATGTTACCCGTTTACTGCCGAATAATGAGGATACAACAACAATTCAATATCACATTTCTTTTTTTTACAAACCATTTGCAAAATCAATTCCATCACTGAAGCATATTTACCTTGCCATTTGCACGTTGTGCGAACTTTTATCCCCGCAAACAAATTCTGATCGAGACAACCGCGAATGTTTAGCTTGAGAAATTTAAAAACTATACAGAAAGCAAAAGCATCGAAGACGGATTGACTGAGATTTTTTAAGATATACTTTTGTATTTATACCTTATATTTGACAAGTAATTTGTTAACAAAGACGTTATGCAGTACATTTTAATTTCAGTCATTCACGAGACTGCACAAAATCGTGAAATAGTAAAAAATAGAAGTGACGTCACCGATTAGTTAACAATACAACAGACGAGATAGGAAGACGATAATGAATAAATTGTTGAATAATTTGCATGTGACATTGATAAATTGTGATTCTTGTAGTCCTTCCGAACCTAATTGGATTTTCTTAGGTTAGTAAAATCAATAGCCATTTCAAGTTAAACAATATGACCCCATTTAAGTTGTCTATGTAATCTCCCTTGTTTTTAACACCAGACAACGTAATCAGACAACCGTTTAAAACAGCAGTTTTGATATTACCAATACTAATAGGGGG